TCTCTTTGTTTGTAGTAGCTTTTCTATTATATTTTGCGGTTTTTCTAGATATAATTACATCATCTTCTAATGGAGGTATTTTACCCCTACATTTGCACGTCTGCTCTAAATTGCTTTTTATTTATAGCTACATTAGAAGACCAATTTATTTATTTATTTATTAGTTTTAAAATTTAATTTTATTATAGGAATGTGGGGTACAAGTGAGGATTAACCACATAAGTAGTCTGCATACTGGTAGTTTGGACTTCTATCTGGCCTTCACTCTCCCTGGTAATGACCCAAATACTTTCTGTGTTGTCAGGTGCTCCTCCCTCCTCCCCTCTTCCCTCCCTTCCCTAGCAGTGTCCAGTGACTGCTGATCCCACCCTTGTGCCAATGTGACTAATGTTCAAGGCCCATGAGAACATGTGTACTCAGCTCTTTGTTTCAGTGATAGTTTATTTAGTATGATAGTCTTCAATTTCATCCAATTTGCTGCAAAGGCCATGATTTTGTTTTTCTTTATGGCTTTGTAATACTCCATCCTGTATACCACATTTTCTTTATCCAGTCCACTTTCAATGGACAGTAGGGTTGGTTCCAAGTTCTTGCTATTGTGAATAGTGCAGCAATAAACATGCATGTGCAGGTGTCTTTTTTATAGAATGATTTATGTTCCTTTGGGTATATTCCCAGGAGAGAGATTGCTGATCATATGGAAGATCAGTTTTTAGTTCTTCTAGGAATCACCACACTGCTTTACACAGAGACTGAACTAGCTTGTACTCCCACCAACAGTGTGGAAGCATTCTTTTCTCTGCACCTGTGTCTTTTCTCCACACCTGTGGCAGCATCTGTTGTTTTGGCTTATTAATGATAGTCACTCTCACTGGATTTATGTGGTATCTCATTGTAGTTTTGATTTGCATTTCTGTGTTGATTAATGAGGATGAGCATTTTTTCATTATTTGTTGGCTACCTGTATGTCATCTTTTGAGAAGTGCCTGTTCATGTCTTTTGCCCATTTTTAAATGGTGTTGTTTGTTCTTATTCTTTCCTTCATTTGAGTTCCTTGTAGATCCTGAATGTTAGGCCTTTGTCAGATGCATAATTTGAAAATATTAGTTCCCATTCTGTGGGTTGTCTCTTTACCTTTGATGGTTTCTTTTGCTGTGAAAAAGTTTTCAGTTCGATGAGATCCTACTTTTCTATCTTAGCTTTTATTGCATTTGGTTTTGGGGACTTGGTCAAGATTTTTTTGCTTATTCCAATGTGCATAGTGTGTTTCCTATGCTTTCTTCTAGGATTCTGACAGTTTGAAGTTTTACATTTAGGTCTTTGATTCATTTTTTAGTTGATTTTTGTATATAGTGATAGGTAGGGATCCAGTTTCATTCTTCTGCATGTGGTCAGCCAATTTTCCCAGCACCATTTCCTAAATATGGTCTCCTTTTTCCAGTGGTTGTTATTAATGGCTTTGTTGAAGATGAGTTGGTTAAGAGACCATATTTTTGCTTCTGGAATCTCTGTCCTGTTCCATTGGTCTATGTGCCTATTCTTATACCAATACCGGGCTGTTTTGGTTACTGTAGGCTTGCAATAAAGTTTAAAGTCTGGAAGTGTGATACCTCCTGCTTTGTTCCTGTTGCTGAGGATTGTTTTGGCTATTGGTGCTTTTTTCTGTTTTCATATGAATTTCTGAATTGCCCTTTCCAGGTCTGAAAAAAGTGATGTTGGTAATCTGATGAGTATTGCACTGAATCTGTAGATTGCCTTGGATAAGATGAACATTTTGCCAATGTTGATTCTTCTAATCCATGAACATAGAAACTGTTTTTTTCTATTTGTTTGTGTCATCCTTGATTTCTTTGAGCAGCATTTTGTAGTTTTTGTTTTAAAGGTCTTTCACTTCTCTGGTTAGGTGAATGCCAAGGTATTTCCTCTTTTTTGTGTGTGTGGCTATTGTGCATGGGATTATTCTATTTTTTTTTTTTGAGTTGGAGTCTCACTCTGTCACCCAGACTGGAGTGCAGTGGTCGCTCCCGG